CCCCTCTTTTTCAGTTCCATCCTTTATCCCAGGTACCCTAATTCTTATCATCTCATCTCTATTCCTAAGAGCATGGTGAGGGAGGGAAGATAATCTAATAAGTCACTATTACCTTAGTATAAATTGGATCAATACATTTGTCCTAGGAGATTTTGCACTTAAAAGAGGACATGTCAAAAGGAAAAATCCCCTCGCAAGATTTTTCGACAGTTAAATCAAAAGGGCACAGGCGTCATGTCTCAGCTCATAGGCTCTCACATCAAGATCCCTACTGTGGAGTTCCAGACATTGCAACAGTGAGTGGGGGAGATGTAAACACAAATTTCCCTCTGGGCCTCTCAAACAATGAATGCCTTATGGAAAAGCCCTTGGATCCAAATCTAAGAGGTCAGCTGGCACTTCAGTTTCTCTGACTTTTGCTTAGGATGTAAGCTCTGAAGGGACAGGTGTGAGTGCCCCTTTCCTCCTGCAAGCCTTTTCTTTACTCCTGTTCTTATCTCCTTTCTCTGCCTGGAGTAGGCACTTGCTGGGAAGCTTACAAGTGAACACATCAGAAAATTTGGGAGATGGCTGTTGGGAGGAAGAAAGTACATGTGTTTCTATCAACAGATAATCTTAAACTTGAGTCGTCACTGTCTAATTTTGGGTACCCTGCTTCAAGTTGTACGTGCTAAGCTGTTTGGTCCCACACCAGTCTGACACACGCATTGTGAAGTGAATCATAGACTCTTGTTTGTGTGAGCTGGAATGTGTACTCACTGGTTGAGTTATTGACTTTAGAGGGTACCTGGCCTTCAGGAAGGCAGAAAGAACACTGATAAAATGTCTCATTTGCCTTTGAATGTTTAACAATGCCTACCTTTGGGCCTCACACACATCGCCATCCAAAAAAAAGATGATTTATTGAAGAGACAGAGAACTTCTGTTGAAGTCAGCTATACTCAGTTGAGTCAAGCTTTTTACAAAAAGGCTTTGTTGAGAAAAGACTGAAAATTCTAACACCCTAAAAGTGTCCCAGGAAAAAAATATGGCCAGTTAAAAAAAGCCATTGTACAAGGTTCCCAGCAGGAGCCTAAGCTACATTCATCCATCATAAGGATCTTAGATGATTGGGACCTAACAGGCAGGCTGGCAGACGGCCCTTCCAAGAGAGAGAAGCCTCCTGCATATGCAATCATCCTACTGCAAAGAGGGTCAAGTGGGCCAATCTGGTCCCATGAACAACCCTCAGTCATCAGCAGGTATTTTGTGATTCCAGAGACAACAGAATGTCTGCCACTTGGATTTGAACCCAGAGCAACTCTAAACATACAAGGTCATGCTCACTTACTAGCAACACAGCTTAGAGGTCAGGTTTTGAGGTTACCATAGACTTGGCTAACACTCTGGTTCTACCTCTTAATAAATGTGTGACCTCAAGCAATTAACTTCCATTTCCTGACCTATCAAATAGAGACGATAAATACTACCCCATCGAGTTGCTGTGAGGATTAATTGAAACCGGATATGATTGTCACTGGCACCAGAAAACATTCAATGAATGATGGCCAGCCTTATCATCAAAGCTGATCCTAACAGTAGGAACAGCAGATTTATAAAGTTCCTTCCAGTTCTAAGAATCCTTAACAATTCTGTGACTATGATGCTAATTTTTAGACTGAATGATAAAATTTAAACCGAATTATCATTCTAAACTGAATAAAATCAATCAAAATAGTTTTTCAGATAAAGGCTGAATGGCATATTATAATAGACTAAGGAGTAATGCATTTATCTCAAGAAGGTTTGAGATAATGTTCTAGCAAGCATCATTTCTTTATCATACTCACACTGCACGCCACCATCTCCCACTGCTAGCATCAAAAGAGTTTGTTCTCTGATGTATACAAATTCGTGGATCTGAACCAAACCCATAAGTTTGTTCTGGGAATGCATGTTTAAGACAGCCCTGGGCTATTTCTTTGTCTTGGAACATTTTTCATGAAAGTAGTCTTTTCACTTTGTTGAAGGACAGGATGTTCCAAATCAGTGAATCACTTTTGTTTATAAAATGGAATAGATGAGGTGACATCAATGAAAATGGCGGAATAAGGATCTCCAAAAATCTTTTCTCCATAAAAGCCATGAGAACAAAGGCAAAATCAACTGCCTTGTGCTATTTCCCATACCAGGCTAACAGTAAATTATTTTTAGTTGAGTCTCTTTACTAAGAGTAAACAAATCCTTAGTAACTCATGGCATTCATTTAAAGCTTGTATTTCAAAGGAAATACAATATCACCCAGTGGAGAAGAAAAGTGGTGTCTTGACTGCTTACTGCCAAAGCCAACTGCACAATGCATTTATCTCCATTCTTTCCTTATCAAATAAAACAGGCATAACTATCTTCTTTTCCCCCACACATACACACCTGTATACACGAACATACACACATACACAAAGAGCAAAGAGAAGAGACAACACCCAACAGAGATAACATGTTTTTGGAAGAAGTGAAACAGTCTGGAATAATGGTACCTGACATGGCATGGCAGGGTGGAGAAAATCAAAGGCTAAGTGCCTGGAGAGGGCGTGCCAACGAGAAGCAGACTGATTCGCTGCACGGACACCAAGGACAGCTCAGGGAGTTTAGCATCAGGCACCTCTGAGGTGGGGGTGAGGGTGGAGCTGAAAGCAGGAGGATTCATTGAACATCTTCTCTCCAGAAGTCAAGTAGCAACCCATCCCACATCCCTGTAGAAAATAGATGGCTTCATTTCTGAGGAGACTGCATCAGATGTCTGGACTCAGGAGCCCCAGGCACTGTGAGGACAGGGGCCTTTAGTGAAGATTAAGTGAACGTCTACCTTACAAATAGTGAGAGCCCCATCCGCTCCTAGCCCCTTATCCCACTCAGTTCCCAGAACATTGACAACTGGCTTATAACCCAGGCAGGAGGCTGAGGGGGCATTCAGAAGCAACTAATGGGTCAAAGAGAAAAGGTCTACAGATACAAACATTTACGATCTACTGAAAGGAAAAACCTGGTCCTCACCCCATCCATCCACTGTGAAACCCACCTGGAAATAATCTCCACCTATATTAGCTTCCCGTGGCTACTGTAACAAATTACCATATATTTGGTGTCTTAAAACAGCAGAATTATATTCTCTCATAGTTCTGGAGGCCTGAAGTAAAAAAAAATCAGTTTCATTGGACTGAAATCAAAGTGTCACCAGGGCCTTTCTCCCTCTGGAGGCTCCAGGAATAAATCCTTTCCATGCCTCTTGCAGCTTTTGATGGCAGCTGCCTTCCTTGGCTTGTGGCCACATCACTCCAATCTCTGACTCCGTGGTCACATTGCCTTCTCCTCCCTTCTCAAATCTCTCTCTGCCTCTCTCTTACAAGGTCACTTGCAATTGCATTTAGGGCCCACCAGATAATACAGGATAATTTCTACATCTCAATATACTTAATATAATCACATCTGCAAAGTTTCTGCCATATAAGGAAACATTTATAGATTCTGGGGATTAGGACATGGAAATACCTTCGGGGACCTACCATATTTAACCTACCATACCACCCCCACACAGAAAGTTTTTAACCAGTCTTTTAGTTTCTCACTTATGTGTTAGTGACATCAAAATTTTTTCACCTTTATTGGATATCCGAATTTCTTGTTTTACAAATTGTCCATTCATGGCCTTTATCTGTTTTACTTTCTACTGGTGTTTTTCCTACAGATTAAGAGAATTTTAGACAAGGCCATTAGCCCTTGAACTGCCGTGTATGTTGTAAATATTTTTGCTAATTTGCATTTGCCTATGAATTTGTTTACAGTTTTCTAATACACACAAAAAAAATTTTAATGTTATATAATCAAATCTAATACTTCTTTTCCTTTGCAATTCGTCCATTGCTATTATATCAGAAAACCTGCCTTATCCTAAAATTAGATATGTGCTAATATATTTTCTCCTGGTTTTATGGTTTTATGTTTTCTAAAGTACTGAATTCTTTACATGGAATTTATTTTAATATGTGGTATGAGAAAAATCCAACTTGCTTATTCTAAGTTATTTAAACAAGTATTAAGCACAAAATATCTTTTCCTTTCTCTACTGATCTGTCATACCATCTTTATCAAATATATAAATCTTATATATTCCAGGGTCTGTTTCTGAACTCAGTTATCTTAATCCCTCTTTCAGATGTTCGATTTTTTCCCCTCTGAGTTTCTAGTTACAAATAAATAACTATAGTCTATCAAATCATCCCAAAATAATTTCATATTTTCTCATTCTTTCTAAATATTTATATAATTATTTATCTCGTGGTATCTTACTGGTCACTTATCTAAAAGAATTCATTTTTATCATAACACATGTACATGTATTTGAAAATTTTTAGAAACAGGAAAGCATTTTCACATTTTTAAAAGAAAAGAACTTAGAGATATCTTTCCTCTTTGTTGTTAATACAATGATTTATTTAATATATCTGATGATTTTATTAATTAGTTAATTCAATAAATAATACATGCTAGCCATTTTTCTAGGTTCTAAGTATACAGGACAAAAACTGACAAAAATCCCAACCATCATGAAGCTTACATTCTAGTAGAGGAGACAGATAAAAATGGGATAGGTAAAAATTTTAATGCAGTAAGTGTATCGGTGATGAGTGCTATGGAGAAAAATAAATCGAAGAAGCAGGGTGGAAACAGGAAACTCTGAACAGGTGACTAGGGATGACTGAGAAGGTGGTATGAGTCAAGACCTAGAGAAAGTAAAGGAACTTTTACTTTTCTTCTGTAAATTGACACACACATGGGTAACTTACATTGAAATCCCTGGTATATCTTCAGGTATACTTTAAGTATATCTTAAATCAATTCCATAATCATTCATTGCTTACCTACTATGATGAGCAAAACGTTAATCTCGACATATCAGAAGGAATCACTGCATATTTTAAATATCAAATTCATCATGAGTTAACTGTCTACAATATACTTACAGGAGTGAAGCAGCTTGTTGGAAATCTTTGAACTGTAGAACGAAATACAAAGCTCCTATATTAAAAAAAAAAGATATGATTTTCTAAATTTATTTTTTATGTGAGGATCTTTGTTAATTTATTTCCCATCTCTCATTAAATATTTTAAAGTGCTAAGCTAGATGTGATGGGCATAAGTGAGGTTTAAAAGCCATTAGTATTGGTTGTTAAGCATGTAAATAGAAAAGCATGAGTGAAATTATTAAAAGCAACTCAATAAGTATATAATTACCTGGAAGCGTACTTGGGAACTGGTGCAGGAAGTAGATCATATTGCCCTGGTGAAAGCTTAACTGACTACATAGAATGGACAAGGACACCAATAATAGATTAATACAGGTCTTAAACTCACTTCATTTTATTATCTGTCATTCATAATTTTATTTTATGACCATACATTATATAATTTATTCTTTATTTTAATAGTAGAAAAGGTACATTTTCAAAGGTGGAGCTTCAAAACATTCCACAGATATTTACTTTCCATGGTGAATTTTATGACCATATGCCTGAAATAATGTATTGAAAAATGCTATACAATTGATCATATCGTAAATGTACTAGATTCAACAAATCGATTTTACCATGATTGAGTGAGCCTGCTCTGTGGGTAAAGAACTGCACTAGATGTGGTAGGGAAGAGATATGGTCCCTGACCAGCAGAAGTGAGAAGGCACATACATAAACAATTCTAATATAAAACAATATAATCAATGCAAAAAACAGATTAGAGATTTGAGAAGTAGGGAGAGATTAAAACTAACTCGGTGGCCCACAGCTAACATCACATTAATCAACAATGAAAAGCTAAAAGCTCTTCCTCTAAGATCAGGAACAGGACAATGGTGCCCATCCTGCTCCATTCCTATTCAGCATAGCACTGGAAGTTCTAGCCAGAGTATTTAGGCAAGAAAAAAAGAAATAAAAGGCATCCAAATTGGAAACCAAGAAGTAAAATTGAACCTGTTTTCAGAAGACATGATCTTATATGTAAAAAACCCTAAAGACTCCACCAAAAAAACTGTTAGAACTAATCAATAAATGCAGTACAGTTACAAGATAAAAAAAGAACATTAAAAAATCAGTTGAAGGACCTGAATATAAGACTTGAAACAATAAAATACATAGAAGAAAACATAGGAACTAAACTAAAGGAACTTGGGCTTAAAGAGGATTTTATGAATTTGACCTCAAAGGCAAGAGAAGAAAGAGCAAAAATAAATAAATGAGACTACATCAAACTAAAAAGCTTCTGTTTAGCAACAAAGTCAACAAAGTAAACAGACAAAACCGTCAACAAAGTAAAGAGACAACCATCCAACAAAGTCAGCAAAGTCAAACCGTCAACAAAGTAAAGAGACAACCATCCAAATGGGAAAATATATTTGCAAGCAACACCTCTGATAAGGGCGTAATATCCAAAATATACAAAGAACTCATATGACTCAATAACAACAAAAAAAACAAACAGTCCAATCAAAAAATGGGCAGAGGACCTGAACAGACACTTCTCCCTAGAGGGCATAGAAATGGCCAACAAATAATCGAAAAGATGCCTCAAAGCAGTCTACAGATACAGTGAAATGCCTATTAAATTTCCAATAGCTTTTTTCATATAGGAAAAAAATATCTTAAAATTGATATGGAACCACAAAAGACCCTAAAGTCAAAGCAATCTTAAAAAAGAAGAAAAAAGCTTGAGCATCACACTTCCAGATTTCAGACTATGGTACAAAGCTATAGTAATCAAAACAATATGATACCAATATAAAAACAAACACATAGACCAAGGGAACAGAATACAGAGTCCAGAAATAAACCCACACATATACAGTCAACTAATCTTTGACAAGGGCACCCAAGAATACATAATGGGGAAAGGACATAAATAAATGGCATTGGGGAAACTGGATATCCACAAGCCAAAGAATGAAACTAGATCTCTATCTTATACCACTCACAAAAATTAACTCAGAATGGACTGAATACTTAAATGTAAGACCAAAACCATAAAATTCATAGAAGAAAACATAGAGAGGAAAAGCTCCTTGACATTGGTCTTAGCAATAATTCTTTTTGGATGGACAGCAAGTTTCAGGAATTAACACCAAAAGCACAGGCAACAAAGAAAAAAAAAGACAAGTAGGACTACATCAAACTAAAAAGCTTCTGCGCAGCAAAGGAAACCATCAGCAAAATGAACAGGCACCCTATGAAATGGGAGAAAATATTTGCAAACCATATATCTGATAAGGTGTTAATATCTAAAAAATATAAGAAACTCATATAACTCAATAGCAAATCATCATCATCATCATCATCATCATCCAATTAAATTGAGCAGAAGACCTAAATAGACATTTTTCCAAAGAAGACATTCAAATGGCCAACAGGTACATGAAAAGGTGCTCAACATCACTAGTCACCAAGGAAATTCAAATTGAAGCCACAATGAAATATCACCTCACATCTGTCAGGGTGGCTATTATAAAAAAAAAAAAAAAGAGAGAGATAATAAATATTGGTGAGGATGTGGAGAAAAGAGAACACTTGTGCACTCTTGGGGAATATAAAATAGTACAGTCATTATGGAAAACAGTATGGAAGTTCTTCAAAATATTAAAAATAGAACTCCCATATGATTCAGCAATTCCACTCTGGATATATACCCAGAGGAAACAAAATCAGTTTTCTAGAAGATATATCTACACTCCTGTGTTCAATGCAGCATTATTCACAATAGCCAAGCTATGGAAACAACCTAAGGATCCATCAATGGACAAATGCTTATGGACGATAGATAATGAAAATGTGATATATAAATATATATGAACAATAATATAAATATATATTATTATTCAGCCATAAAAAGAAAGGAAATCCTGCCATTTACAACAACATGGATGAACCTGATGGGCATAATGCTAAGTGAAATGAGCCAGACAGAGAGAGACAAATAACATTTTGTATCACTTACACGTGGAATCTAAAAGCTTGTACTCATGAAACAGTAGAATGGTGGTTGCCAGAAACTGGGGTGGGAGGTAGAGGGTTGGAAATGGGTAGATGTTGGTCAAAGAGTACAAAATTTCAGTTATAAGATGAATAAGTTCTAGGGATACAATGTACAGCATGGTGATAATAGTTAATAATACTGTATTGTATACTTGAAATTTCTGAAGATAATAGATCTTGTTCTCATCAAACACACAAACTGGTAACTATATGAGGTAATGCGTATGTTATTCAGCT